TAAATTCCTCTGTACTCTACCTAGTCACCCTCTCTCCCCCCGAATCCCTGATAACCACTGATCTTAACGTCTCTTTAGTTTTGCCTTTTCCAGGATGTCATGTAGTTGGAATCATATAGTATGAAGCCCTTTTAGATTGACTTCTTTTACTTAGTATTATGTATTTAAGTCACTCTGTGCTGGGGTCTAGAGGTCTGTTAGGCCCCTTTGAGGGGATGACAATTATTAATATTAATCTGCTCACTCTCAGCTTCAATTGCCCCATTCATCGACAAACCTCTTTTCTTCCTCAGCTCTCCCTGTGCCAGTTAACCAAGACCCCACTTTAGCTTATACCTACACATCCCAACAACCGTAACCTAAGACAGAAAACCCAAGTCTGTGAAGAGGTTCCTAGCTAACTCCTCTTTTTGTCTGCTGAGAAGTGTACAATCTAGAAGAAGATGTTGTTATAACTCTCCTCCCACCTTAGAAATGTAACAAGCACATTTGGGTCTTTCAAGGGAGAAACCTGAGAGAGTACCTTTAACTCTTCCATCCTTAGTTTTACAAATACTATTTTTATAATATTACTCTATTAAAATCTGACTCATTTTACCATTAGTTTGTCTAAGAACTAGGTTCTAAATTTCCAAACTTTCCTTTGAACTTCTTCTCTTTCAGACTTGCCTTGTTTCTATGTAAGTCGATTTATATCTCGATTCTCCTCCCTACTGGCTAAAATCTGCAGGTTAACAATCTGTAAAGTGGCTTTTGGTTTAGTTTCTCTCCACAGCATGATCTCAGCAATTCCAACTTTAGCTCAAATACCACACAGTTCACAACAGGTGCTTTTTCAGTCACTGAGCCTAAAACGTAGCATCTTTATCCACGCTTGGATGTTCCAGGCCCATCCTTATATGTGGAGACTTTTAACACTCTCACGGCTTCTCAGTCCTTTATTAGCCTGTGAGCCCCAGATCATTTCTAGTAGTATATTTTTGGATTTCAGGGTGCCACTTAGGATTTTTTCCCTTTTATTTAATTTAGTGACTTCTGGTTTGGGAGGAGTCCCCTGACCATGGAAAACAGCAAAATAGTTTTTAAAAGTTAATTTGCCAGTTAAATCTTGGTTACTAATGGAAATGAAAACACATCTTATATGGATAATTAAATTTGATGAACCAAATACCATTTTTTCCCTGAAATTCAAATTCCTTTATTTCTGTGAGCTTTTAAAAAGTAGATAATGTATATGATTTTTAGTGTTATCTCTATTGTCTCCCATTCGGCAAATTCAGTAAGAAAGGGCTTCAATCAGAAGAATATAATTAAGCATATCTAACGTGGCCATTGGAAATACTCAGATTTTTGAAGTCCATGGGAGAAAGAGGAAGACAGGATAGTCTTGGTAGATGATATAAAAACAAAGTAATAGAGGGAATGGGAGGTTTGCTTTTTGGCCTTATTTCCAACTATCCCTATGCATTTGGGATGTGCTTATTTAAGGGAATATGGGGAAGAGTTTCTGAGTTAGAGGCTCTGGAAGGTCACCATCATGCATGAAGGGCCTGCCTTACTGTAGCTTGGTTACTTCTGGTGTAGGCAGAGGGCAGGAGGTCTTTAGGAACATTCAAGGATATGCAAAGCACGGGCAGTATGGGTCGGAAAGCAGTGTAAAGGGAAGTGACATAGGGGAAGCAGTTAACAACTGAGAACTAAGGTTTGTTTCCTTCTTAGGAATTATAATTAGCCTCTGTTAATTTATCCTCTCACTACACGCAGTATATACAGAATACTGTCTTACATAACGAGGGAGATACAAAAATGAATAAAGCAGTCTTTAGCCTTATGGAACTTAAAATATTTTTAGAGGTAATGCACGAACATAAACATGGTAATACAGGGTAAAGTATGATAAATGCTTTAGAGGAGGAACAAAAAAATTCAAAAAGGTTTTGGATAGAGAGCAATTTTGTCTGGGATAATAGATAATTGTAGAGTGAAGAGAACATTGCGTGACCAGAGGAAAGAATGTATTCAGGAAATAGATAGTAACGTATTGCTTATATACTTAGGAGCCCTGATTATAAGCAAAACAAAAACTCTATTGGTTGTTGGAAGATTGTAAAGGTCCTTAAAAGCTATGGTGACATGGATTTAGACTCTGTCAGGCAGAAGATTTGAGAGCATGGAAATAACATTATTGAGTAGTACCACATTTAGGCGCAATTTGCTAAATGGATAAAGTAGGAAGATGGAAGAATTGTGGAGTAGGTGAGATAATAACAATATGGCATTAATAAGAATGGGTGTGTATTCCAGAATGTATTATAGACATTGCAGGTCATGACCTGTTATATTGTGACATCAGTTTTGTTGACTTTGCAAGCATTTTTAAAAAATGAAATAGTACAGAATAGAAAATATTGGATTTTATTGCATTTAATAAGGTATTGTTTTGTGAAACTTCTGTTTCAATTTTTAACATATATGTATTTTGTTATGTATTTCTGGAGCTGTAATGTAAAAAAAATAAAATATGTTTTTGTGATGTGGTCAAGATAGAGAAACTCGACTAAAGGGTATATTTATAAAAACCTGTCTTCATGGTAATGATTAATGGTGCTCTCTGAGTATACTCTAGTCATGGCAGAGGTGTGAGAAAAATCTTCCAAGTGCATTGTGTGTGGGGAGATCAGTCTGTATTTGAATTAGCCACTGACTGAAATATAAGTCATTTATCCTGCTGTTTCTTTTAGGAACATCATAGTGAATGTTTGGTTTGATCAGGAGACTATAGTTTTTGAATACTCAATGTCAAATTTGAGGTATCTCTTGCATTTCTGCAAAAGATCAAAATGCTTTCAGAACAGTAGCTCTCAACAGGGGACAAGTTTACCCCTTAGGGGACATTTGCTAATATCTGGTGATATTTTTGCTTATCACAGTTTGGGGGGAAGGAGTGTATTACAGGCATCCATAGGCAGAGGTGAGGATGCTGCTAAATATTCTACAACGTACAGGACAGCCTTTCACAACAATCATCCAGGCCAAAAAGTCAAAACCACCAAGGTTGAGAAATCCTGCTTCAGAGTGATCCAAACAAGTTATTTAAAAGAAATGAACTTAACCTCAGCTGAAAGAAAGATTCATGCTTTGGCCCAACACAGATTCAGTGATATTATTTATAGAATGCTCCGACCACCAACTTTATTATTAAAATGATTTATCAATATGTGCTTACATGTGACCCAGAATGAAATGCTGCACCAAACAGTTTAGAAATACAAAGTTTATAACTCTGAGATAATCTCTTAAGTATTAACATTAAAAGTCAGAATTATATACCACCAAAATATAGAATAATTTATATGCCTGTGTATATTTTTATATATGAAGAAGCAACTCTGTCTTGAAGTGAATTCAGAGACTTGGCAGCCAGCTGCCTGAGTGAATCTCACCATTTAAAATTCTTCTCTTAAGGGTATCCTAATTTAAAACAGATTCAATAGCACTTGCTGAAATTTGTATAGATCTGATGACTCAATAAATATAGGCACCCATCTTTGTATCTTTGGCAAGGAAACGGACATGTGAAATTGGTACCTGGGTTCTCAGCCCCATGGAGACACAATCTACCCAGAGCTTTACCAAGTCATTTATGCTTCCTGGCTTCAGCTCTCTAGACCATAAGTGTCTTGGCCTGCATGACTTGGACAGTCTTTCCTAAATTTTAAAATTCTATGAGCTTAAGTTATGGATCAATTTCTTTTGGTGTGTAAATTTGTGAATCTCCCTTTCATTATTTTGGGAGTATTTTCATACCTTCTCAATAACACGTGGGGAGGGATATTATAAAGTAACTCAGATTTACAATAATTTGGCTTATATTTCAACTACATGAGTAAATGATATCCCACCCACAAACCTGAAGTTTAGCAGGTATTGTCATGCAGAGTAACAACTTCCAGGAAGCCTTCATTCAATTGTACCATGGAATACATGAGCTTGGCTTTCCTAATATATTCACTTTGCTCAAGGGGTACGTTTGCTCTTTCAGATTCCTTTGTTCATGTGTTCAGCGTGGTAGGTCTTCAAAATTCATATTTATTTTAAAAACATTGTTTTTTAAAACTAGAGTTTCATGGTTATAATAGGCTACTGCCACAAGCCTTAGGGGATATTCAGCTGCAGCAATACAAAGGAATAAACTTTCTATGTCAAAAGACAATACTCTTTGATTATTCAGTAGATTAATAAATTCTCATTTTTTTTTCTGGGCATTTAACCTTCCAATAATAATGTACAAAGCTACCCTCTGGTGGTGCAAACATGTAAATGCATCTATAAAATGTCAATTTTTTGTGGCATTGTTTAGGACTGTTTAAGAAGTTATCATTACCTTCCCAAAAAATTTATAACAAAAATATGCTTTTGATTAGCAGATTACTATATATATACTCGTTCATTAACTAGGCTTTCTCTGGGTCTATCTGTAAGATAGGTACGTGTGTGTGTGTGTTAAAAAATCACCAAAAAATAAGGGAGGGCTCACCACAGAAAAAAGTTAGCTCTCTGGCTTAATTTATCACCATACTTTGTTTCCTAATAAATCTTTCTTTTACAACAATCCCTCCAATGGGTTTATAAATAGGACATTCATTTCTTATGGTGGAAATCCTTTTGGAAAATCTTGAAGAATAGGGAAATAGGTAAAACCATATTTGTGAACTCTGGAGAATGATAGGAACTTCTATGATGGTTTTCTGAACTCTTAGAGAGTTTAAAGTTTTTCTCAATGAAAGGAACACCTCTGACAAAAACATTCTAAAAATCTCATGGATTATCCTCAAAGAATTGCATTGCTCCTCTTTTATACTCTAGTTTGCATGATTTAAACAGTTGAGTATTTCTGCTGTATTATTCAAGCCAAGCTAAACTGACCCACTGCTTTACAAATTTAAATCCCTTATAAATTGGATATGGGTTATTAGTCAATTAACGTAATTCTAAAATAAATCATGTTATATGTCTTTTGTTATTAGGTCCAATTATTTAATCTTGCTTCATTAAACTATATCCACTGAATAATTGGATTCTCATACACGTATGGCCTGCATACAGCTCTCTATGTTTAGCTTTTATAGTGAATTAGAGGCCCGTTTTTGAAGCAATCCAGTTTCGGTAAACAGCCACCTTTGTGTAGACTCCAGGTTTGTTCTTTTGACCACAGTTATCTCCCCAGCTCACAATTCCAATGAGATACCAGGTATCTTTAAGATCCTTTATGACTAAAGGTCCCCCAGAATCACCCTGAAAAAAAAAGTTTAAAAAGAGAAATAAAATTAGCTAAATATAAAGCTTATTACTTAAAATATTCTGATGAAACATATTTTATTTTTAGACATTTATATGGATTATCAGTTATAGGATAATTAATTCAAACTGTTGATTTCAAGTTATGAAAGCCTTAAAGTGCAATTCCACATTTTAATTTTTTATTTTTTAGCTTTATTGATGTATAATTGAGAAATAAAATTGCATTTATTTAAATTATACAACATGATGATTTGACATACTGTACTTTGTGAAATGACTACCACCATCAGATTAATTAACATATTCATCCCTCACATAGTTACCGTGTATGGTGTGTGTGTGTGTGTGTGTGTGTGTGTGTGTGTGTGTGTGTGTGTGTGTGTGCTGAGAATCCTAAGGTCTACTATTAGCAAATTTCAAGTATACAACACAGAAAATCAAGCTGATGTTGGTTTTCTTCAGACTCTAAGTAGGATGCTTGGAATTCCATTTTCTCAGACAGATTACAACACCATGTATCCCAGTTACAGTTACTATATTCCTGTCTTGTTCTCCTGTGCCTGAGTCCCTCGATAACTTCCCCACTTTTTCTACAACTCCAGCTTTGTCTTATGACTCACTTGCACAGTTGTGGGGTAGGAATCTTGCCTCTGTGCCCCAATCCAGTGAAGTCTCTTCATGACCACCATCCCTTCTTGAGGCTCGTCACTAATCTCACCATTTGCCTAGATCCGCACGCATACCATGTCTTCTCCTAGACTCCTGTTGCCACCTTTCACTTGTTTGTCATGGGAAGGACCTCTCCTTGGATTCCCTGAATTCTCGCTGTCTTCCTCCACGTTCTTGACAACTGAGGCTAGATGTGTGTCAGATCCTGCTCTTGTCCAGCCTACCGTGCTATGTGTATTTTCTGACAGGTTGCCCATGGTGTGTCATTTATGGGACTCTGGGCTTGCTGCCACCATTCCCATCATTTCACCATGTAGAATCACCTCCTTGAAGTTTTCAGGGACCTCACATTATAAAGCAAGTGTCTCTGTGGAGAAGTACACTTTTATACCTTTGTCAGAAAATATACATGCAGGACAGGTATTGGACGACAGAGAGTACTAGATATTCACAACATGGGCTAATCAACCGTCTCAGCATTAATTGCTTCTAACCTCTCATCTTCCTTGTTTTGAGATCCAACAGGTTACCCTGGTTTCCCTCAAATACTAACTGTAATTTCACACCTTCAGAATTGTGTCTATGCTCTTTTCTATTATTTCCTTATTCCGTAACTGGGTAAGTGCTGTTTGTCCTTCAGGCCTCATTTACATATGATCTCTCTGATATTTGCTCTAAATAGTTCCCTTCTAGCTAAAAATATTTACTCTTCATTATATCATTTATAACATCACATCATAGTTCATTGTTCATGATTGTTTCTTTTCTAGATGTGAGCCCTAAGGAAAGGGAGTTTTATAACCCTTTGGACTTCTGTTATTAAGATAAGTTAACTATATTGGTTTGTTTGGTAGCATCAAAGAAACTCTTTGCTTATTTCATTTTGCTTAAAAATCATTAAAAATATGCTTATGTTGTGAAATTTGCATTTAGAAATTTTTGAACTGACAAGATGTTTTTATTTTGTACTAATATAAAGAACACAGACTATTTCTTAAGCCAGATAAACACGTTTTGAGTTAATATCAAAATAATCTCTCTCCACCTACCCTGCAGGCATCATAAATGCCTTCTAGATATCCAGCACAAAACATTCCAAATTTTATATCACTGCCATACACATGTGGTTGCTTGCACACATTATCACTTATGAGCTTGAGTCTGGCTTCTCGAAGATCGTTTTGAGATTCACCTTCAGGAAAAACAAAGTAATTTCAGTGTTTACAATCAGCATCTTTAACTAGAATAAAGTGAGCAGACTGTTTTCTAAACTTTGTCAGTACAGAATGAGGTAAATGTAAGCAGTTTCCAGAGGAAAAAAAAATCTGTTTAAAATCTGGCATATTTAAATAATTTTTATCCTTATCGCATTTTTATAACTGCTTATATTAACAAGCAAAACATTTTGTTTTCATTTCTGGAAAACCTTTGTATTTTTATTTTTAAAAACAATCAGTTTATGAATTTAGAAAGACCTTTTTTTAAAAATACAGTTTGTATTTGTGGACTCTAGATTGTTTCCAGAAACTTTGCAGGTCTAGTATTCCCTTGGCTTGATAAAATAATACAATACTATGTACATTTATTTTACCCTTTACATTTTATGAAGTATTTTCGCACATAAAATGACATTTAAAGGCAATAATTTCATTTTTTATGTATTATAGTTTTGGGACTCCAGATTATAAACTAGATCCTGAGTTGTAGAAACCAATATTATGGCAGGAAGACAACTGCCTATGGTGGAAACTAACAATGTCACAAGCATTCACGGATTATTTATATCAAACATACACTCATTGGGAAACTGGCACTATAGTAGAAAGAATACTGTGATGATCCCTAGGATTTCTTACTGATCTCCTCTCCCCACCCCCAGTATGGGTAGGCTCCGTGAATATAATGGATGTCATTCTTATAATTAAAATATGTTATTAGGCACAGGTAAGGGAATTTTGCAGGTGTAATAAGATGCAATTGATTTGACACTGAGTTCAAAAGGGAGATTATCCAAGGTGGGCCTGACCTAAGCAGGTGACCCCTTTTAGAAAGGGCTTAAGCCTTCCCTGAGTTCAGAGACTTTTTCCTAACGGCACTGAAGAAGCAAGCTGTAGTGAGTTCTAGAGCAGCAAGAAACTGAATTCCACCAACAACCAGTGAGCTGGGGAAAGAACCCGCAGATGAGACCACAGATGAGCCGCAGATGAGACCACAACCCCAGTTGATATCATGATTGCTGTTTTTAAATAAATCCTGGAAATCCCCAACTGTTTCTCAACTATTGTGAGAATGTTTAATGACATTTCTCACAAAATACTGATTTTTTTTCAGTTAGCTTTTTCATTAATTTTCTTGCTTTCCATCTTATTCATTTTTTACTCTTTATTATGTCCTTCTTTCTGCTTGTTTTAAGTTGATTGTGCTATTTTCTAGTTTCTTAAGGTGGAAACTTAGATTATTGATTTGAGACCCTTTCTAATGTACACATTTGCTATACATTTCCATTTCTGCACTGTTTTAGTTGCATCCTGCATATATTGATTGGTCGTTGTTTTCATTTTCATTCATGTGTACTTAAAATTTTCTTTAAGGCTTCCTCTTTGACCTATGGATTATTTAGAAGTGGTTGTTTAATTTCTAAGCATTCGAAGACTTCCGTGTTATCTTTTTGTTACTGGTATCTAGTTTTATTCTTTTATGACTGTAGAGCACACTGTCTTTGATTTCAATTCTTTTAAATTTGTTTGGGATTGTTTTATAGACCTAGATATGGTCTGTGTTGGTGAATCTTCGACGTGTGCTTAAAAAATGTGGGTATTCTGTTGTTCAGGATACTGTACTCTCCATAACTGTTGGTTGTAGTCTGTTGCTGGTCACAGGGTATCATGGCAGACACATTTCTGGACCAGCCTCAAACTCCAGGCCAGAACTATTTCTTCCCACCAAGCCAAAGGGAACCTGAGATGCCCCTCTCATCATCATAAAGCAGATAATGCCAACTTTGTCTGAGGAGAAAACACATCAGAGAGAGTGCAGGCAAAGAAACCACATGGGACATTTGGAGAAAATGTACAGACCATCAAGCCTATTCCCGGCCACATTAGTGAAAGATATTCCTAAGTTCCTTAGTGGAGATGGAGAACTAAGGGTTTATTCCTTAGTGTTTATTGTACCTAAGCAAATTGTATAGAACTCTGTGAATGGATCTGGTCCTTCTCAGAAAACCCTTTCTTCTCAAGCCGTAGTTAAAGAAACCCTCTTTCTGTTGTATGAGTATCTGGATGTGCTTGGGCCAGATTTTAGAATCCAGAGTGTGTCTGGCTAAGTATGCCCCAAAAAACAATAAAAAATAAAATTGTTCTTACTTTTTAGGAGATTACGCTAATATATCAATTAAATCACCTTAGAGAGCGCAATGGGAGCTCTGTTATCAGAGATGATTTATCTTTATATAATATTCTTATCTCTGATTACTCTCAAATTAGCCTCTTTAGTTCTGAAGTAGATTTTGCTGCAAATGGAGATTGTAGCTGAGCACAGGAAAAATTTGTGAGGTGATTGAAGAAAGTGAAAATGATAGAGCAAACTACAGGAGGGAGGAGAAGAAAAGGATAGAGGAGGCTCACAGAGATGGAGCTCAAAGTGAGGGGTTCTTGGAGTGAAGGTGGGCATAAAGACTACAACATATCTGATGTACACCTGGCACTGCATAAAGAATGGCACATAGAAATAGATTTTAGTGTTGCTGAAGAAACACTCGCTTCTTTTATGTCTTCCTTGTAGCCCACCCTTTTGGAACTGCTTCTCTTTCATTCAGTGTGCTTCTGACCAGGCTGTGAATCACATACCTGCCTTTCTTGGTATAGGCATAGATGGGAATATTTGAGTTAGCCAGTCAATTCAAGTACCCCTGGACACAAGCTGGGCCAAAAGAGACCTTTTCAGGGATCAATGTAGATTCCAACAAAGAGAGGGATATGTTCTTCCCTTGGCATCTGCTAGTCAAAGATGACGTCAATCCTGAGCTGCTACTATATGGAGCTAGAATCCTTCCATTTAAAGGGGACCTAGGGGTAAACAAAGCCAGGAAGTGGAAAGATTCAGAGATTTAGAGCTTGATGACATCATAAGAACTGAATTCAGCTGTGTCTGAAGCCAAACTCAGCTCATCTCTTGATTTCCAAATTACAAAGGCAAAATTTTCCATTTAATCATTATTCTTTGCTATAGTTAATCTGAGTTGAGCTTCTGTCACTTATGAAACAAAAACCCTAACTAATCCAAGTTGTGTGGAAATGGCTGGCAGGATAATAAGGATGGAGATCAAATCACACTGCCCTAAATAAGGCTTAGGACACTGTGATAGTTTTTGAGATACCCACCACCATAGAAAAGTGCTCCAAATCCTGTGATATAGACAGTTGAATTTGGTCGGAAGGATGCAGAGGCTTCTGGCAAACAAACCCGGCGGATGTCATCAGTAAAGGTGACTCTGGGAGAGAACTGTACAACAGCAATGTCGTACTCTTTTGCTGGCGAGCGATACCTCTCATGGACAATAATTCTTTTGATGTTTCTTTTCATTAACGGAGGGTTGATTGTTGTCCCAAAGCTAACAGTCCACTGATATGGATTTGTATTACTGGAAAAGGTTAGAAATGAACAAGGTATGTGAACTGCACTACAATAATTGTATGTAGGTAGTAAGAGGGAAAATATCATCCTGAAAATACTTGGTTGCAATGATAGCTTTCTTGGACTATTTAAATATAGTGTGCTGCTACTATTTTGAAAGACAAAACATATGCAAACAGCATCTTACAACTAATCCAATTATTAAATTTTAGAACTGTAAAACACATAAAATACTATTCATTTATCTCGTCAGCAAATATTTGTTGAACATATATGTGCTGATCTATATTCCAAGTGCTAGGGACAAAGTGGTGAACAAAACAGATGGGAAAAATAATGAAACAAATGAAGAAATTGATAAATAATTTTAAACAGTGATAAGGACTATGAATAAAATAAAATAGATCAATGAAAAAGCATGCTAGGGTGTAGTTAGGGAAAGCTCTTTTGAGGACAAGACATTTGGGCTAATATACCTGGTTGATGAGGAATCGGCTGTGAGGTGATAGGAAGACAAGTTTCTAGACAAACTTCCCAAAGCCTGAGAGCAGATGGGCGGCAGTTCAGGACACAGGGAGTAATGATGGGGAATGAAGTTACAGAGGTAAGTGGGAACCAGATTTTAGAGTGTCTTGTAAGTCATGAATAAAGTGCTTTGATTTTATTCAAGTGATATGGGAATTCACTGGATGATTTTAAAATGAGAGTAATGCAGTCTCATTTATACTTTTAAAAAATCATGTTGGTTCTTTCTGGAGAATAGATTGTTGGAGGGAAGGGTGGATGAGGTAAAAGCTGTCATAAGTGCTGTGAGAGATAGTATGTGACTTTTAGCTTGTGGGCCTGAGCAACTGGTGGATGGTGTACATATGGGACTGGAAAAATTGTCTAGTAATGAAAGATCATCTAGTAAAGCCTGTGTTTTATACTTTCTCTTATACTTAAGGGAAATAAGGCCTAGAGGAGTTAAACTATTGGGTCATTGGAAAAGTCATGATGTATTTTTCCTATGTTTTATATGCAAAAATATATCATGACTTTTCCGACATCCCAATATTTGCCTAGTATCACAAGTCTACTTGCTTCTCTCTGCTCTTCCTTTTATAGGACATAGTTCGCCATCAAAATCTTTATTAATAGCAAGATAACTGTTCCTTAACTAATTAATTGAACATCATCCATGAGGGATAAGCCAAGAGACAGATACTGCCCACATGGATATTCGTTTCTCAACTAATTTATTTTATAATGGGTAACTAGTCACAGAAAAAAGTACATAAACATATCAATGTGTTATAAATTCAATTTGACAGCTGTTAATTGTGTTGGGATTATTATTATTTTTAAGGCAATTTAAAATTTTGGTTTTATACACAATTTTAATGTGTAAATATACTCTAATTAGAAAAATCAAAATAAAGATTGGATTTATAAACACATTTGTTATATAGTATAAATATATTGACATTTTTGTTTATAAATCAGTCATTTGTGAGTTTCATTGGTGCAAATCTGTTCCTTCAACTTAATCAGACCTAGAGGAAATGGACCTAAATCAAGTATTTTGAACTTGGAAATGCAAAGGACAGACCTAGAATTGTTGTTACTCAAATGGAGTGATCATTCTAACCCTTTCCAACAATGGCCTGACACTATTTAGTACAGCTTGTGTTTATTACATTTGTAGATGACAAACAGGAAAGAAATACCTTACATGAGAGATGCCAAGTGAGAATTATGAATAAACTTTCTAAATTTTTAATTTGGGACAAAATCAATAAGATGTAATTAATAAATATAAATCAGTAATTTAGAACCCCAAATGAATTGTAAAAATTTAAAGTTATAACCCCTGGTCTGGAAACCATCCCTATAAAAATGATTTGGGAATTTTGTTGATTATTAGCTTAAAAAAACCAGTCATGTAATGAGGTTTCTTAAAGTGTTAACTCAATATTAGACTACAATAATATCAAATAATCTCAGAGTAGGAAAGGACATAGGAAGTCATTTAGTCCTCTCACTGATCCAGTGCTTGAAAGATAGGACTTGTCATGAGGAAGACATATTCTTGTGTTTAGCAACACTATCTCCAAGCATGGTCACCTTGGGCAAGTTATTTAACTTTTCTTATTTCCCTCAGTGAAAAAGGACTTCCCAAGCAGGTGGGTGTAAGAATCACATAACACAATTCTTAAGCACTTAAGCAAATGTTTGTAGCATACTGGAGCTTAATATATAGGAAGAATACTCTCAAGTGGCAATTGTCTATGCTTGAACCCTTCTGCAGGTGGGGATATCTTCTTTTCCTTAGAATCCCTTTCTTCACCTTGGAATCTCTTTCATCTTTGAGCAGTTCTGACTGTTGACAAGTTCTTCTTTGATTTCCTAATTCTTATCCATAGAAAAGTGCCTCAGATATATGACTATAGCTGTGTATTTTCTCTACCAGAACTTTCTCAGTATAAAATTTTTGTCTTCTAGGATAGTGTTTCTCAAGCTCTAATGTGCATACAAAGAGCCTGGGGAGCCTATTTAAATGCAGCTCCTGATTCTGATAGGTCTTGAGATTCTTGCATTTCTAACAAATTCCCTGGTGGTGTGAATAGTGCTGGTCTGTGAACCATGCATTGAGTTGCAAGGCTGTATGGATATACTATCACTTTTCTTTACCATCCAAGTCTATGTAAGAGCATTTCATTTTGTCAAGTTCTCTTTAAGTGTATTATCCAGGACAGAATTCACTCTCCCAGGCAGGATCTGACCAACAGAGTCTAACATCTCACTTATTCTGGGTTCTGCATTTCTTTTAATGCAATCTAAATCACAATGTAGTTTTGTGAACAACTGACTCAAGTGGGCTAACTTGCCTCAAAAAATTTCTAGGCAGTTTTCACATGTTAAAACACATAATCTACTTTCTGTACTGATATACTTCGTGTTTTTTCCCCCCAAGTTAGAGCCTTACATTTATACTTGCTAAAATTAATCATTTAGATCTTGCTTATTACTCTAACATAATTAAAGCCCTTTGGAAATTTCTGATTTTTTTACCCACACATTGGTTTTTCCTTTCCAACATATGTCATCAGCTACTTTGTTGGGAATAACTTCCACATCACCTGCCAAGCCTTTAAAATATACTGTCTTGGACGTGGTGCAGAGTTGAGGTCTTTGATGGGCCATAAAAAATATCCTCAGTATTTCTCCAGCAATTCTTTTGTTTGTTTGTTTGTTTGTTTGTTTTCAATCTATTTTTTATACAGCAATTCTTAATCATCAACCTTTGGCTAGAGTTGTTTAGTTACTGAGCTACCTATTACCCTTGCAGTCAAGTTATATTATTTTTTTTTTCCAGAAGACTTCCCATTTTACTTTGTCTTTATGACATTAGTCATACTATTTTGAAAAGTGTGTTTAGTTCTTGGAAGCATGTTTTAAGAGAGGCACTTACAAAATTAGGAACATTCAAAGAAACCAAGATGGTAGGACATCTGGAAGTTGATGCTGTGAAATAAAGTAGTCAAATTTATTTTCACATATAGTTTGGAAATGCTCACTTATTTATAGTGTTTGGGCTAAAAAAGAGAAACTAAGGAACAGCTGTCCTATGGATGAAGAAATAAATTTGATCCCTGTTTTTCCAGATGAAAGGACAAATATCAATGGATGGAGTTATTAGGTTACAGATTTGTTGTGCAATGTTATAAAGATATTTTAAAAAGTAGAATAATCTACCACAAAACTGACTAACATTGGTGCTAGTAAGCTCTCCATTACTTTGAGATATTCAGTTCTAAACTGGCTTCCTACTTAGTGCTTTCTAACATATTGCTCTGTTGAGTTCTCATGTCTTTCGAATTTAAGACTCTAAGTCTCCGTATAGACTCAGACTCATAGGTAGGCAGAATTTGCTATGGTATCAAAAGTCAGAATTTTAGGGCTCAAAAGGAACTTGAATCCATCTATTTCCTAACACACTGGTTTAATAACTTGCCCAAGATTATAGGGAGCAGATCCAGCTCTCCTGCTGTCGATTTTTTGTCCACCAAGTCTTGCTGCTTTACACAGAAACCCAGGAAACCCTTGTTATCACCATGATATTTGGTACTGGAGAAAGGCCATAAAGTAAAACTACGTAGAAAGAAATCCACAATTTCAAATATTAATATTAATAATAAGGTCTGAGTAGTTATTTTGAAAGATAAAACTAAAATTATGCAAAAGTCACTTTATCTTATATTTAATAAAATGTAGGTTGTAATTATGCTCAGAATGAATAAACAATTGTTATTGTTCATTTGAAACAATCATATGGCAGCACAAATGCTATCTTTGGGTTTTTTTTTCTTTTTTTAAAGATTTTATTGGGGAATTGGGGGAGAGGAACAGTGCTGGGGAATCGGGAGAAGGGGAACAGACAAGTTGCTGTTGGTTTGTTCTTCAGTCTAGTTGTGGAGGATGTCGCTTCACTGGCCCAAGTTGGCACCATCATTGTGCTCTTCCCGGGTGAGGCAGATCAGTCGCCAGCTTCTGGACAGCTGCTCACTATGGCAGCTGGCTACACATGGTAGTCCATGGCAACCCACAGCAGCAGGGGTTGCAGACTACACCGTCGCTGGTGACTCATGGAAGCTCCAGTTGAGCTGTTGTTCAGCATCTTAGCTGTGGAGGGCAGTGTCACTGGCCCTCATAGGTGGGATCTGAACCAGGGCCCTCAGGCATCCCAAGCCAGTTTTTAACCAATGCGCCACTTGGCCGGCCCTATCTTTGCTTTTTGCAGCACCATTGTCAAGAGGCACTTGACATACCAGGGGTGCCAAAAAAATGCATACAAGTGGACACTCTGGTCAACGTTGCTCAAACAGTAGTTTGCCTTAATTAAAAGTGTCTAGATGCTGCAACCACTTGTAATTGCAGAAGTCAAATGTGACTTGTATTCATTTTTTGTTATAGGTATATATTGAGTATTACAATTTTAATAGAGGTTTCCTTTCTTAAAATGTGTACACATTGGGCCAGCCGAGTGGCGTGATGGTTAAGAACTGGCTTGGGACGCCAGAGGGCCCCGGTTCGGATCCCACATATGAGGGCCAGTGACACTGCCCTCCACAGCTAAGATGCTGAACAACAGCTCAACCTGGAGCTGGACTGCTGTGAGTCGCCGGCGACGGCATAAGGCTGCAGCCTCTGTGGCAGTGGGTTGCCATGGGCTACCGTGTGTAGCCAGCAGCCGCGGTGAGCGGCCATCCAGAAGCCGGCGACTGATCTGCCTCGCCTGGGAAGAGCGCAATGATGGTTCCAACTTGGGCCAGTGAAGCAACGTCCTCCACAACTAGACTGAAGAACAAACCAACAGCAACTTGTCTGTTCCCCTTCTCCAATTCCGCAGCGCTGTTCCCATCCCCCAATTCCCCAATAAAAATCTTAAAAAAAAAATGTGTACACATTTTTTGGCATCTTCTGTATATTGTATGAAGTTCTGATTGGGTGGCCCAAGGGTGCCTCTTAATCCTTTGTTATTTAAAGGAATCTCTTTTAAAGTACCTGTCCTTATCATCTTGGTAATTTTATCATTTTGCTTGTGAACCCCTCTAATTCCACCAGATCCCCTCATGTCAATGATATATAATTTGATTTGAGCAGTTCTTTATTATCACAATTAACCAACTTCCTACACCCACTGAAGATTTCAATTTCACTTTGTAATTAATTTGATTATTTATGATCAGCATGTGACTGGCCTGAGTGTTTGGCAGAAACAGACACTAGTGTTAAATGGAGAGTATTGTTTGAGAAATGATTTTGTATTAGATGACTTCTGCTTCCTTATACAATTTCTTTATTTAAAACTCTGAGGATGTGGTCAGTGAATACTAGGATAATGACTACTACCTCCACTAACTTTCCAAATAAGTATGTAAGAGTTACATTATTTTAGAAAAAAACCTGAAAGAAGCTTTTCTCATTTTACTAAAATAATATTTGAGGGCATTGATTATTACTCAGAACATAATAAAACTCAGAGTTTTTTTTTTAGCAGTAGTGGAATCCAACTTAAGGTCAATAACTTACCTTTTAAAGCAGTGTGCTGCAGTGACAAGCCATGTATTACTAATCAAAGTGGCTCCACATTGATGTATGTTATTACGCTGAAGGGAAGCTTGCCAAGGCCAAGCAGCCTTGGCCGCAATTTCTCCAGACATTATTCTGTTGACTATTAATGGAACAACTCGTTTACCACAACCTGAAAGAGATGAGATTATTAGGTTACAAGAAATGTCTCTATAATTTTTGATACAAAGAACTCATAGAGTACTGCTATGCAATATTCGCATCTATCATTACATAAACATGTAAAATATTAATATCCTCTATATTTCCTGATATGTTGACATTTTGCTTACTACTTACATTAATAGATGTAGCATATATTGCTGACTGAAGCTATGTTAAACTGCAAAGCGTTGACCTACTACATACAATGTGTGTGTCGTGAAGACTTGCAGTATCAATTATATAGATGTCCTAGGAGGGCCTACTGAGGTTATTGTTTCCCAGTTGCAGGAGATCCAGCAGTGTTACCTTGATGTGTAGTCCTCACCAGAAGAATTAACCAGACAAGTAATTGCCTATTTGTTGGAACTCCTTTGCCTATATATTTTTATGAGTGACGAGTTCCTAAGGTGTGCATGGGTTAAGGTATCATGGCCAGTTTCTCACTGTTCAAGATGGAGGGCTCCATGTTTCCACAGAAACATCATATTCACTATTGGTGGGAATAAATATATATTCTGCTGTGTACAGCAGATCAGAAATTAGGTTGCTGCTTAGGGCTGCTAAGAATTAAGCCTGTTTAGCATATGGTACTAATAAAGAAAATACGGTAGGTTTAATTCTTGTTCCAACTAATTAAGTATCAAAAAATAAAATTCATTTTACTCGTATTGGTTGCATTACAACTGTAGCTAGTTATTTTAGAAATCTCAATTACTCTGCCGTTATTGTAGTCTACTACCATTTTTTCTCATCTGGAGGACTACAACAGCTTCCTAGTTTATCTCCCTGCCTCTAGCCTTGCTCCTCCAACCTATTATCCACGTTGAAAACCAAGTGATCCTTCTGATACGTGTAAAAACCTTAAGGGATTTCTCACTGCCCTCCAAATACAGTCAAAATATTTCAGCATGATACACCTGAAACCTAAATAAATACATAAATAAATAAATAAATAAATAAATTTCAGCATGATTCTGGTCCTTTATCGCTATTAATCACACCCCTTTCCCATACTCCCATCCCCCATTCTATGGTCCAACCACACTTTACAATTACAAGAAATGACCATGTTCTTTTTTTTTCACGAGACATTTTTACACACTACTCCCTCTACCCAGGACACACATCCCACCTGTCACTTGATTTATAGCCTGTCCTCTTTTCTGTCTCAGGGATCACTTCCTGACATGACAAGACAAGGTTAGCTGGCTCTATGATTGACTCTCATAGCAGTGTGGACTTACTCTGTCATAGCATTTATCATACTGTCTTAACATTTCCTGATTTATTTATATCTTCCCCTACATTTTAACTCTTAATTTTAGAAGCAGGATCATGTCTTATTCACAATGGTATTCACTTTATGGCACTTAGTACACATTAAAAAGATATTTGTTGGATGAGTGAATAAGTAAAGATATATAGTGTGGTGTGTTTGTAAGACATAGATGCAAATGGACGAATACCTTTTCTCAAATTCATCACCACTTTTATAAAAGCTTTCAAAATTTAGGACTCAATAATATGAAGTAAGTAAGTGGAGGTGCTGTAAACAATGAAGATGAGATATATTAAACAAATTTTATAGGTCAGTCATAGATAATGGGGTCTATCTCTTCCCCTTTATCACTTTCTCATTTTATTTCTCAGCAGAAAGCACATTTCATAGCATTTAGAAAATTATAAAAGCAAGTTCATTTATTCCAAACCAGAAATACATAATTTCTTCAAATTGTCCCCAAATTTGAACGACCTAAAATGTTTTGTTTTGTTTTTTGAGAAAAGAAAAACATGAAAAAAGATTGGTCTCAGAAAAAAAGTATTTCCATCTATTGCCCAATTGTTATTCTCTCCCAAAGAAAATGTGAGACATGAATGGGAAATTATGAGTTAATATTTGAAGATATTGTCCTTTCTGATGTAGAAATTGAACTTGTTTGTATAAGCTAACTAGACTTACATGCTTGGACAGTTAGCTTCCCTGTTGATGAGCTCATTGCTAAAAAACAAAATAGAACATAGAATGATAATTTGATATTCTCCTGGTTGGCCTCAGTGACCTGAAATTATCAGAGTACTAAGCATATATGGATTCTAGACAGCTGAGCATATACATCAGGAGAATACTGGGTTGTTGGAAAAGTCGACATATTTTTTCTATGTTTTTCATTGCAAAAGTGCGTTATGACATTTCTGACAACCCAATAATAGGATATGTGCAAACTTTTTGTAGAGACTTATAGGCAACTTCTAATTAGGTGGGTAATGCCTCAAGCAGTGGGTGATTAAAACACAAATAGTGGATGATTTAAACTCACAAATAGTTTGTATTAATATGGAACATTAGTTTTTGGTGGGACTGGATAAAACCTCTTTGTATTTTGCCCCAGGAGATAGACAACATGGGGTAAGATGGAGAGAGTAGATGAGAAAGGCTCAAACCCAGCCTCAACCAGAACAGGTCTGCTTTCATCTCTTCTATTTACGATTTCATATAAGCCTTTCTTTGGTCAAAGTGTTTAGGAATGAATAAAACTTTGAAAACTCCCACATAAACTGTATTTAAAATTCTTCTAAAACACAGTTCCTAAATTATCAAAATGTTTTTTTTTCCTGGAGAAAAAACTATTGTGTATTCCTATCCAATATGTGCTGAATATGATGAAAAGCAATTATTGGACAGAAACTAAGATTAAATTCTGTTAATTTCCAACAAAGTTAGGAATCTGATAAAGGAAACACATACATTTAAACTTAAGTTGGTAGAAGCTTGTATGAAGACTGATGATTTTCAAGATAAAATGTCTTACTGAGCAGAATGAGGATTCACTTTTACTAATTTGTACCAGTGTCACGTTTCTCAGACTTGTATTCCCTGTACCTAACTTCCCATTGCACAAAATAAGAATGTTCCTTTCTACTCACCTTCTATAAATCCCATTTGGGAAACTAGTAATGATGAACTCTGCAAAGTGGGGGGTTGGAAAATGTTGAATTCAAGGATACCCTTAAAGGCATTCCCTAATCGTCATATGGTGAAGAATCAATTTCTCAGGACAGATTCTTAATGCTTATGCTATGGAAGGAACTCAATTTTCCATCAAATATATTTTTTAAGGTAGTAAATTTCTTGTTTCATTTAAAAAAAACCTATTTTAATATGCCCCATGTTAGCAATGCACTAAAATGGAAAATAGTATAATGTTAGAACTTCTGATTTAGTGTTAACTTCTGAGCAAGATGCAAATCATCTCTTTCCAGGAATGATACCAGGTTAAGTTTAGTGGTTGTGAGTGTAATTGGATTTTAAGGGTTGAATTTTTAGGGAGAATGGTTACATCTGGAGGTAAACTACCCATACACAAGTAACTAGCTATTGATGATTTCTTATTTTGACAAAATATTTTTTCTTTCTGCATCTAGGAGTGAAAAGAAACATTAACACCCGAGTCTTGAAAGTAACCCTCTAACACACCTCTGAGTTGGGAGTAATGTAATTAGTATTCAGGGCCCTCTCCATGCTGGGCTCAAACATGATGGGAACTGGAGCACATACCCACCGAATTGCCATGGTGTTTGCAATGCAAAGATGTTGATTTCAGCTTTGCTTTGACACATTGCATCCCATGAAGGACCCACACCCACCACACAGTTACTTGTCAAAACAAAAACAGTTTGATAAATTATGGCTAAATCTTGGACTGCAGGGTTACTTGTAGACAGTCTAAAATTTTGTCAGTTTTTCATTCCTTGGTGGTCCCCAAAATTAAGTGTTTCTGGAGAACAATGTTTTTACCTAGAATAACCGCCTTGAGATTTCCACTAAACGGGCCTTTCCTAAGTGCTAGTAAACACTGTTCTTTTTACATTTAGAAATTTGGAACCCTCAAGGTTCTAGCTTTTCCTGCAATCAGTTAATCACTCGCATAAATGCTTTCAGGTTTCTAAGGCATATGCATGATTTACTTGATTTCTAAGTGGTAACAGCCTATATGTTCCATATTATATTTTCTGTTTTCCTATAGATCCTGAGGGCATTTCTATGATTTCAGGAGGAGCAAACATTATCATTGCAATTTTACAGAGGAGAAAATGGGGCAAAGGCATGGGCCAATACTTGGGTGGTCCTGCAATCACTCATTAGAGTTAAAGTTAATCAGGCAACTCACATCAGGTTCTCCAACAGCACATCCTGCATTTTAATCTACTACATCATTAAAATAATCTGCAGCTCTCAAACTGAGCCTGCAAGTAACAAAAAGCCCAGGCAGCCCTTGAGCATTTCGTGTTTTATTTCTGGTTTCAGATAGCTCAGGCTTTTTAATTACTGGCAAGTTAGCAGCTTATTGGAAATTACATGGAACACATCGTGTAATTTATCAGAATTGCCATTATTTCACAACATCGATTCATTTGTTTTCCCATCTAACAAAGAAAGTGGATTAAGCCCTTGACAGGTTCTTCCCTCATGGTTTGGGAGAGGTCCTCAGCTTTATTCCTGGAGTTAGCTGTCTCTTTGTCAATCAGCAAACTACTGCCCATCCCGTTCCCTCAGATTTTCATTTCCTGCTCAGGTTTCCTCTTGAAGAGCCAGCCAGACCCTTACAAGGGCAGGGCGCCCTGTTTCACCTCTGATATGAATCACTCTGATTATTTTCCGTGACTCTACATGTGGTACCCATTGGAATTTGTAGGGGAAATCTGCACTTGTCTGCCGGAAGTAGATGCTTGTGGAAGCATCTTAATGTACTAAGGTAATCAGGTTTCTGTCTGTCTGGATTCCTCAGAGCCTTTAATATGCTAATATAAGGGATGAATTTCCAAGAGATGAACATCATATACAGAATTACTAAAATGTGTTTGACCACAAAACCCTTTTTAAATGGAGCCTCTCAAGAAATTACAGATCTAGATTTGAATCTTATCTCCATTTAATTATTAGAGTCCTTACCTTCTTTGCCCCTCTTTCACATCTATTAAAGTGAATTTGCCTACTTCATAGGAATCTAGAAATTAGATGCTGCATGTAAAGGGCATAGAGAAGGGCCTTGATAAGGGTTGATTCTCTTTTTAGAGGAATGATAATAGTATAATAGTTTCAAAAAATTTTTTTCTAGGTTAGTGATTTTTAAAGCATACTTATAAGATGGCTATAGTGGCTCCAAAGTAATGCCCATAGGAAAGAAGTTAACAAAAACTTCATAATTTCAGTATATACAGAGACTATCCATATTTTAAAAAGGCAACACATTAGTTTCTGTTTCTGGAAGGTCCCACCCAAAAAAGAAGTTGTTGCTAAATGCTTGGTATTTTCACTTGCTTAGTCATGGAGGCAGTGGCTAGGTCAGATTAACTCCCTGCTAGTGGTAAAAGTTTGCCTTTATTCTGGGATGAGCACCAGTTAATTACTACAGGAAAACTACTTCATAACTAACTTCAGACATGCTTTCTTCAGAGAATAGTAAAACCTAAAAATGTCATTTTTTAAAATTTGAAATTCTCTTTCATCTAAATTCTAGCTAATATCTGGAATGGAAATATGGCATCTAAGTTTAAGGTTAGACATAAAATGAACCTAAAAGAGAACTTCACATTGCATAGAAAGGCACCTACTTACCATTAACTTGAACTGATGAGGCATTTATTGGCAAGGCTCTTGTGTTCCTTATCTTCTGATTTAAGATGCTATGGATTTTCTTCATTGTTATTGCCCTTTGCTCAGCAGAGGGGAACTTGAAGACCATAACAACATCTGCTTTCACACCATCTTCCTCTGGACTATGATACACAAGAGAAAGGTGCTTATTCAAAGAATACATCCGGTATCTTCTTACTGTCTTTCCTGTATTTTCTTCCCCTGAATTACACTTGATTTGCTGAAGGTGTCAAGGGCTAATCCTCTCACATGACACCCTTTTATATGTCACTCTCTGACCCAAGATCATTTTCTCTTCATGCTCCCTCTTCAAATTTTATTATGTTTTGAGTGCATTTTCCCCATTAATTTGAAGGCTTGTTACAGCAGTTAGGTAAGATTCAGACATCAAATAATTATCATTGAAATCATAAACACTGAGGACTGGAAGAAATTTTAGTGATCTTTTTGACCAATTGCTCATGCGTCTGATACTTGAATCACCTCTAGAGCATCCATGACAAGTAGTCCTCTAACCCTAGCTCAGTAATTAAAATAATGGGAAATTTACTTCCTTAGAGAAGCATATTTCTCTTTGGTCAGCTCTGATTTTGAGAGTTCATCATTTTGAGTTGAAATATGTCTTCCCATGTCTTCTATCCATTAAACTTAGGTTTACCAGTTGGGACATAACATAAACAATCAATTCCTTCATCCATATAAAATATTTGAAGACAGTGATATTGTGGTCCCTGATGTCTTCTCCAGATTAAACATATCTAGTTTCTTGAACTTTTTTAATATAAATAGATTTAAGTCCATTTACCTGTGGGGCTGAATTTTTACATACTCTTAGAGTTAAAAAGAAGAAAACAATTAAAGGTCTTTAAAAAAATTGAAACCTATGTGTTGACCTGCCATGTCTCTTATTTTTATACTTCAAAAGATTCAAGCTCTAAAAAACACTAAAGGCCTATTTTCCTGAATCCTTTGACTACAGAAAAGAGGAAATCATATCAGTTCTGCAGATTTTTACATATTGTGGTCCATTTAGGCTCTGGAATGTGAAGATATAAATAATCAGAACTTTATGTCAAATTGGCAAACATATGACCAAGTAATTTTCCCTCTTAAATCAAAGTGAAAACATTGTTTGCCTGGTGGAATTTCTCTGGGCTCACACAAAAACTTACATAGGACTAATGGCTACTAACACAAAGAACTTCATAAAATTATGATAATGTTGCTAGAATGTTATGTTTCAAATCAGAAAATAGAGGGCATGGAATCTAGAAAGTTTCAGCAAATACATGCTTTTTATCTCTTCAATGTTATAAAATTTATCCAATTTATATTATAAAATCTTTTTGGAGGTCACTACTCAATAAAGGTATAAGGAAATTGGAATACGTCTGCCAATAAGGCATTAGTCTATTAGTGAAAAAAAAAAGTGGTTATTTCCTTCAAATAAATCTGCCTTAATATATTCATTTTCTTTTAAGAAGATGAGTCATATAAGTCCATAGGTTTGTACCTATTATATATATATCTTCTGCTGCTATGTGCTTTCCAAATAACACAATTGAATGAAACCTATGAGCAATTTCTTCAACTGACATGAGTCTTGTCTATACACCACATAAAACAGAAAATTTATTAAAACAGAAACATCTTTTTCTTTGGGTATGCCTCCTGCTACTAGGGCTTCAATACAGCTAAAACTTAAGATCTCATATTAGAGTCAACTTTTCCTTCTTCATATTTTTGAAATGACGTGTCTGTCAAAAGAATACAACTTGGTTTCTGCAGTGATATGCTCCTGGGTTTCCCCAAGGCCACAGATTCTGATAGTTCCAGGCCTTGGAATTAATAGGTGGTGTTTGAAGCCTGGTTCTGTCACTTGGGGAAACTGACACTTGTGGGAACTTTGAACATAACACCTAACCTCCGAGTCTTAGTTTTCTCCTTTACAAAATGGTGGGCAACCCTATATCAAGACTGTAGTAGAGATAATATGTATGAGGAACAGTAGCCAAGAGCCTAGTACATAGAGGCACACAATATATGAGGGTTTCTGTCTCATTTGTTCTTTGCCCCTCGAGGCTGTGACTCCACCTTTGCCCAAACATACATACGTCAGTTTGACTATTCGGTTCTTGATATAATGCTTGTTCAAGGCCGAATCTATAAATATCTCATCCACCTGTTATTACAAGAGAAATTTTGTGTTAATAAGATACTTTATAATAAGAATCTACTGCTGATTAAATATTAAAGCAATAAAAAAAATTTTAACATGAGTAATATCATTATTTAAACCAGTGGTTCTCAATCCTCACAGTAAAACAGAATCATTTGCAGGATATTTTTTTTTTTTTAAGATTTTTTATTGGGAAATTGGGGGAAGGGGAACACACAAGTTGCTGTCGTTTTGTTCTTCAGTCTAGTTGTGGAGGATGTTGCTTCACTGGCCCAAGTTGGCACCATCATTGCGCTCTTCCCGGGCGAGGCAGATCAGTCACCAGCTTCTGGACAGCCGCTCACTGCGGCTGCTGGCCACTCACGCTGGCTGCTGGCCGCTCACGCTGGCTGCTGGCTACACACGGTAGCCCATGGCAACCCACTGCCACAGAGGCTGCAGCCTCCGCCATCACCAGTGACTCAGGACAGCCCAGCTCCAGGTTGAGCTGTTGTTCAGCATCTTAGCTGTAGAGGGCAGTGTAACTGGCCCTCATATGTGGGATCCGAACCGGGTCCCTCTGGCGTCCCAAGCCAGTTCTTTTTTTTATTTTATTTTATTTATTTATTTTTAAAGATTTTTATTGGGGAATTGAGAGGATGGGAACAGTGCTGGGGAATTGGGGGAAGGGGAACACACAAGTTGCTGTCGTTTTGTTCTTCAGTCTAGTTGTGGAGGATGTTGCTTCACTGGCCCAAGTTGGCACCATCATTGCGCTCTTCCCGGGCGAGGCAGATCAGTCGCTGGCTTCTGGACGGGCTGCTCACTGCGGCTGCTGGCCGCTCACGCTGGCTGCTGGCTACATACGGTAGCCCATGGCAACCCACTGCAGCAGGGGCTGCAGCCCACGCCATCGCCTGCGACTCACAGCAGCCCAGCTCCAGGTTGAGCTGTTGTTCAGCATCTTAGCTGCAGAGGGCAGTGTCACTGGCCCTCATATGTGGGATCCGAACTGGGGCCCTCTGGCATCCCAAGCAAGTTCTTAACCATCGCGCCACTCGGCCGGCCCTGCAGGGTATTTAATTTTTAAAAATGACAGTTGCTGGAGTTCCTTTCCCAGGGTTTTGGTTATAATTGGTCTGGAGGGAACCTAGGCATTCATATTTGTAAGACTCTCCCGAAGTGATTCTGATATGCTGGTGTAGGTATCTGGGGTAAAATATATATATATATATATATATATATATATATATATATATATATATATATATATATATATATATATATATATATATATATATATATATATATCTTCCTAAAACCCCATAGAAGGTAAAGCAGAAAAATACAGAGCAGAGATGGAGCATGAAGGGAGACCTTGAGAGGTAGTGGAGAGAACTTTGGCCTTGTCCTGGGTTTGAAGCCTATCCTGCTAGTCACAAATTGAGTGACCTTGGGAAAATTACTGAACCAATAGAGCCTTAGTTTCCTAACTTGTAAAAGAAAGATATTGTATGCTACTCATAGAGTTTTAAAGATTAAGCACATGTAAACTGCTGGATATATTTTGGTAATCAACTGTTGGTTGTTCCCTAGCCTCCATTTGGGCATTGCAGTTCTCAGATTTCTCTGCAGGCCTTTGACTATAAGTACAGGGAAGAGGCATTAGGGATTTAGGAGATAGCCAATGGTTTTTTAATTGTTGTTGATTGTAAGCTCTAGGATAAATCAGGGAGGAAGAAAGAGTAAGGTGGTGTTGCATATTAGATCAAGGTTGTGTTACTGAATTTATGTCACCAAAGAAGGAGAAGAAAAATTACTGGTTTTGGTCTGTATGCACAGTTTTAATTGCCTGTCATAGCATTATGATGCTGCGGCTTATCACACCTAGATTTGGCTTGCAATATCCCCTAGTGACCACTTGGTGACACCTGTGCCACCTGAATGCTGGCCCTGTATTTCACATTTGATAGAAGTGGAACCACAGGTGCAAAAAACATGTCCTACATCCTTTAGGAAGAAGCAAGAAGACCAATTTTCATTTTGAAAAATACGGAAGTTAAAAATAAATGGAAGGCTGTTTCCGGGATCAAGGACTTCCTTAGTATTATCAGGACTCATAAATGCTTAACTGAGAACCAAAATATTCATGATGTCCTTTAATATTTACAATAACTCTATGAAATAAGAATTATTTTGATTCTTATTTTGTTTGAAGAGGAAACTGAGGCTTGGAGACATATGAATTTCTCTGGCATCATTTGGATAATAAACTGGGACTTAAAATTAGATCTTCTGTCTGTAAGTCCATCTCTTCTCATCAATCACACAACCTCCCTGTTAAAAGTGATATACATTTTACTTCAATTTCTTTTGTAGAACACATAACAGTACCTTATAACTAGTTAGTTGACTTTAAAAGATGAAGTATAAAAGTTGTAAAGATATGTATTTGGTAATAGCTGTATACTTAAGATCAAAGACAGTACTTAGAAAAAAAGAAATTGCTAGTATTCGAAATATACCTTTATTTGTATTTAAGGAAAGCTTAAATGGGCTGAAGAGGTGTGGATTTTATATGCTAGAAATGAAACTGTTTTGGATATATGTTTTCACAAGTATGACATTGTTATAAGCATTTCTGTTCTTGTCACCCACAGCCGATACTATTACTCAGTATTTTGGGGAAATCCAAAAGAAAAGCAAAGGCAAACAAAAAACAACAGGGTGAAAAGTGGCAAATATTAAAAAGAAGAAAAGAAAATAGCAGTTGGGTATTTAAAGAAGTTTGATGTGTAATTATCCTCTGAAATTCCAACAACAGTTGATTCCTTGGCCATTATTAACCTGTTGGTGAAGGTATTAGATTAGGTTTTTGACTCTGGATGACATTCATCTGGCAACATGCCTGCTGGGAAGAATATCTAAACCCAGTACCAGTTCCATCTTTGAATGATTCACTTGTCTGGGAAGATAGGGGCTGAAATGATACATAAGGCGAGTCTAGGTAGAAGTAACTTAAGTAATCACAGAAATAAAGAAGTTTTTTTTTTATAATTCAAATTCCAGGACCCAGCCTCGTTGATTAGGTCTGGGGAGAGGTCCAGAATCTTTAGGTGATCAGGTAGCCTGAGGAAAACATTTTGAGAAATGCTAAGGCTCAGACTGGCTAGAAGGGTTCCTTCACTAAAGGAATTTACAACTGGGGGAAAAGCAGAGCAAACACAAAAGGAAACTTTATTCCTGAATGGAGTTCATGTATGAATCTGCTTTCTAGAGACCCCCAAATCATGTTTCCCTGGCAGATTAAGGCCTACCTCATCAGAGACACTCTGCCAACACATTTTGGCATCTGAATTCCCAGAAGTTTCAGAGGACACTTTTTTTTTTTTTAAACTGTGTACCAGCTTGTTATAAATCTATTATTTACACTACCTAATAGAGTTAGTGATTTATAAATCTATCCTACTTCCCATCTGGTGCATTTGTATATGGAGCTAGTCTCCTAATATTAAACAGAAGACCCCCCCCCCCTTTCAGGATAGTACCTCTTCATGTTTGATGATTTTGAAATGCTGGAAATTGCACTGAGATTAAGTTCTAAGAGGGCAATTTGAGGTTAGTTGGGTGTTTAATGAAAGAGTTAGGGAGAGGCTGTCAACTCAAACAAACAAACCTCACCCAACCATTCATTAATCATTCCCAAACTAACTCTGTTTACACACCTTGCCTGCTTTTTCACTGTCAGATGCTCCCAACTGACTCCTCTCACAGCAGTCTTTGTATTCACACAGGGGGAGTTTCAGGGCTAAGAATACAAACTTCAGATAGGCATGCCACTGAGAATTGGCTAATGGGTTATAAAAGCAGTTTCTTCCACCTTCACAACAGATGAGCCCCTGAGAACTAAAGGAACCAAAATATTCTATGAAGAAAACTTCAGCTCCTGTTTCTTTCTCCTAATTATAATGAGTATTGCACAAAGGGTGTACAAAAGATGCTTTTTTAAAAGACACACCTTTAGCCCTAAATGGGGCTTAATGGACATTGCCTTACTACCACAGCTGAACTCAAAGTAGAAGTAGAGAATAGAACACAATTTCATTTGGGCCTCTAGTCACAGTCAGAGGTCCAAGGGTGTCTCCAGCTGTCACTGACCCCCGCCCCATCTTCACCATCACTACCTTTCAGGCTCGGCAACAATGGTTTCAGGCATGGCCCTTGTTTTCCTGTGCATTTGCACTTCTCGGATTATTGCTTTGGTCTGTAACCCTCCCCCATTCTGCTAACTCTGCTTTTCTAAATCACAACTCTCCTTCAAGGTCTATTTCAGATAATACCTTTTTGAGGCGTTATTCCTTGAGCCTCAGAGTAATCTTTCCACTTGTCTTAATTTTTCTTATCCCTCTTACACCTTCTATTTCTTAATATAGTTACTTATGCAAATATGTTACCTCCTCTATTAAACAGCAAACCCTTTATGGATGAGGACAGAGATTCATACTCTACAATAATCCGAGAAGATCTACTGTAGATCTTCATACTCCACAATATACAGGAATGCAGCATGTTTTTGTTGAATGAATTAATGAAAAGAGAGAATTTATCAGAAAGCTTTGCATTTACCAGAATACTTTTATAAAACATTTTAAAGAGCTTTACATTAGATTGAGATCAATGCTCCTGGAGAAAAGAGAAAATTGACCGTGATCATATGAAGGTAATTTTTTTCTGCTTGTTGACATTTTCAGGTAATTTGATTCCTTGTGGAAAGTTCCTCTATGATGAGACTACATTAGTCATAATGGAGGAATAGTTTTCATTGTTGTCTTCCACCTGTGCACCAGGCACAAGCTCCATTGTATTTGAGCTCATTTGCTTTTCACGTCAACCCTCCAAGGTGAATACGATTATTATCCACCTTATATAGATAAGTAAGTAAATTGTCCAAGGTGACACAGCAGTGAGCCAGCTGACCTCAGGGCGAGCATACAAGTGGTTTCTCACTAAGAGCTTCTCTCCAC